CTTCGCTGTACTTCGCAGTTCGACACCCAGAGTCACCCCCGCGCCACGATGAGGCGGTAGACCATCACGGAGGTCGTAATTAGCTAGCCATTAATTCCCAATTTAAGTTGACAGAACGTCCTTTTTTAAGAACATTTGAACTTTTGAGCAAACACTTCAATCTTTTTTCGCCGTGCTAATTGCTGCTTTTACGAATCATACATCAAGTAGATTTATACACGCAGCTCTTTGTTCTTCATATTGGTAAAGCAAGATAGTTGCGGCCGTCTTCACTTAAAACATCAGTCTCAAATTGCACTGGCTTGTCAAACATAATGCGAAAACATAACATTGGTACCGCAATTGAATCTTTCAGTTTTCAAGAGGGGATTCAAATCCAGCGTAGGCATCCCCTATCATGAGTTTCACGTCGTTAGCTTGAAAAATATGTTTCTCCAAAACTGTTCAAGAATCTCCATTTTGTCAGCCTGCGGAAATTGTACAAGGAGTGGACCTAGCAAGTCTGAGTACAAGTTGCATACAGCTTCATAGGATTGCGCTAACTCTTAGGATTTTAACAATGTATTTGCGATATATGTAGCAACAAAAAGTCAGAGACTTCCTCAAGAATTTCTCAGAATGCAATTTCCTGGAATTCGTGATAGCCGTGGAAACCCATCTTACTCCTGTTACATGTGTAACTAGAATTCGACAAACAAGTGTTTCATCACTAGGACGTTTATGAGTGGTGCAAATCCTGAACCCTCCTGGTTTCCGTAGAAAAAATTAGATCGATGATGTAGCATAAACCGACAACTGGGAACAAATTTGAGTTCAAATCAGAGATCACCAACAATTTTTGTAATGACTTTCCCTTCATAGCGGATCTAGTATTAGGCATGCAACAATGATATTCAAGAAATTACTAGTATAGCTACGGTTATGGTTAGACTGAGCCTTTTTCAACCACAAACAAAGAATACCGTCAGTTTTATTAAGATTTTCGATCATTAGCAGAATTCTTTTCCACTTATTCCAGAATTCAAAACATGAGTAATTGATTGTATGTATAACTTCATAAATTTTGCCCTTTGCATTTGTTATTTATTTCTTCCACCTATACCGCTAGAGAGGACTTTTTTGATGATGTTCCCAAAAAGGTGTCTGATCCATATAGGTCTTATTTTTTACATTCGTGAAGAAGAGATCCGGCTTTAAGCCGAAAAAGCTCATGATTAATTAGTGACTGAGAATGAGCCAGGTCACGCGGCTATTCCCAGAAAAAGGCAATTTTCAAGTGAGAGAAATTCGCTTTCCCATAGTGAAAAGTTTGGACAAATTTCACCGGGCTTTCAGCGTCACTATTGCGTGAGGCGTAACTTTGTTTGAACGCAGTTATTTTTAACGCACGAAGACAAGATGTCAAGAAATGATAACGACGTAAAGTTTAGTCAGCAGTCGCAGGAAGTGTCTATTCGGTCCAGGTAATTACCACTTATCTTTCTCGCTCTGTTTCAGAGATTGTGTTCGTAGCAACATTACGTCGCCCGTATCATGCACAGATAATTCAAATGCACTTTGCTGAAGAACGTACAAATTCGAGAAACAAAAAAATCTGAAAACACCTTTCCAGGGCTTTGCATAGAAACAACAGTCATGTCAACAGTGAGCATGGAATAACTGTCAAATTATATGTGACTGTGAGCCTTGCTCGTTTAACGTTTGATTTCTATGACTTTGGGAGTTGAGACTTAGTGCATCGCTCTTTTGTACCAGCTATGGCAAGCTTTGGCTTACCAGCAAATATTAAAGTGCGGCAGTCACTGAGTTCAGAAGAATTTTGCGAAGTGCTTATAGTTCAAAGCTAATTGATTTAAGCTTTGTCAAAGTATGATAAAAGTTTTTCCAAATTTTGAGAAGTAAACTTCAATAGTGAGTTGTAAGCAGGTTTTCAGTTACTCTATGTGAGTTCTACAACTTCTTATTATCGTATCACCTAAACAAAAAGCCATTACGAATTAAGATTTATAACCCATTGCATAGGAAAATATCCTCTTAGAGGCATACAAAGATTATCACTGAGATTTTGTCGTTTTTGTCGGTGATCGTTTTCTGATGTAAGCGTTATAGAAGAAGTCAGCGAAGAGGTAGAGATAACTGAGATACATGAGTCCACCGATTGTCAGCACATTCCAGCTGAAACTCTCATTCTCATCATTTACTAGATCAACACATGAATAACAGTCAAGAAGATTACCTGACAGCACAGTCCGGAATTTGGTTGTAGGTCTTGATGATGACTAGATGTGCGAAAATATAGCATTGCACAACAAATTGAACAATTTGGATTGTGGTGATGAACTTCGCCACAGGTCGTGGTGTTTGCACTTTCAGAGCTCGCACTCCAAAATAGCTGTAATCAGTACTTTAGGGATACAGCTCTCTAGTAGCTTAGTTTTCTGAAGACTCACAAGTACATGATTGTGTGAACACTGAGATTAAGGGCTAGAGACCATCGTGCCCAAGCTTGATGTTCGGAATATGTAATGGCGGCATAAACAAAGGTCATAGCATGATGATACCAGTGCATGAAGATCACCGGCTTTTTCCTAGAAATTCTCTTTTAGAATTACAAAAATATCAGATACGTCATAACAAACAATCCTATACATTTTGAACTCTGAAAAAAAAACCATGATATGAGAAGCTCATTTAACGATGGTAACAGCTTTTTTTGTGCATTAACTGTTCAAGTTTTACATGCTAGAACCTTTTTCGTAATTTGACCATAAAGAAGGAACAACCATTTCATACCTCAAAACTAAGAACAAAGTGTCTCCGAGTTCTGGAGCCTTCGACATAACGAATGCCCATCCCCAGAAACCTGTTGAAGGATCCGTGTAATAGTTGTGATTATTGCAATAAGTGCCTGAAAATTCACTCAGTTTCAATACGTCTATACTTTCAAGTTCTACATAAGATCGATTTCTTTACGTTAGGGAGACTTTTGAAAGCAATATTGGAAGAATATGCCTGGCACTCACCTACAAAACCATCCTTTTCGAAAACATTCCATAATTCGGGAACCAATTTATAGGCGGCAACGCCGGAGAATAATGAAAACATAAAATTCCATAGGGCTAATGGCCCATCTAACTCGAGCGGTTTTCTATTTTTCATGAACTTTTGTCCAAGATAGATTGCTAATAAATAAGCGACAGCTATCTGAAATGGATGATTTCGATTAGAGGGTCAACGATAAACTGTGGACAAGACCTTTTGAAACTTCTTACTTTATATGAGGTTGGTACATAGTGCGACATATAGCTATCGGTTTTCTCAAGACTCCATGAGTCAAAGAGGACGTCAGACAAACCCACCGCTGAAGACATTTCTATAATCAGATTTTGAAATGGATAGGTCTCCAGAAAAGCGATTTTTACAAACAATGAAAATTTGGAAAAATTGCTGCAACTGGGGAGACACTCATCAAACTGAAAAACCGTCTGCGAATAAAGAACAGATAAGATGGAAAGAACGCAAAGGCGTCTATATAAGACTGCACAGCATCACGCCATACCGTGTGAGTCTGCTGGACCTTGCGATGATAAGGTATCGTTGTCAAAGGTCGGCTGATTGAATAACCTATACCCATGTCTTTGAAAGGGGTTTGAAACGGCTGATAAACGGGTGTTACGGAAGTGACTGGTAACAGAAGTTGAGGAAGTTGAGCTTAATAGTTGCATAGAAGGGGCTAAGCAGTTCCCTCGTTCAACAAATTAACAATTAGGCTATGCGGACACTCAATTACCCCTAAATTACCATTATGAAATCTATTTTGCAACATAACATGTTTTATATAAGGTTCTTTCATAAAGATCAGCTCCTAACCTTCGAACTCGACTACTGATTGCAATGAGCATTATTGCGAGAATTTTAAATTACTCAATTGAGTCTGAGTTGATTAATATTATCTTGGTTATATTCATTATGAGAAAATGAGAAATTCTTTCGCTGAAAATGCTCTATCTGTAGGTACACAAGTGAAAAAACACTTTAAACATTGCACCTCTATAATTTCAGATATATGAGTTTCAGACTAGTCTATTTCTCTTATACAGATTTGCTTTGAAGTTGAGCATGCGCACTGCATGCGGGATGTCTATTGATCCAAAATACACAAACCGCTTTTTTTT